TTTATTAGGTGGCAACATAACATAATAATTTCAAGACACTTCATTATTATATTTTGTATACAATCACTACAATAAAAAACGTTAGCCATTCTTACAATCAGAACATTAGCCATCCCTCCAAATTTTTCAAACAAAATTTCTTAGTTACAAAACACTACCAAATACCTTACAATCAGGCGTTAGAAATTCCTCCAAGATTTTCAACAAAATTTCTTGCAACCAAACAATCCCAACGGGAATTATTAGCACCTTAGCAACGTAAAATTTTGTAGTTCTAAGGGAGTACGGTGCAACCTTTTCCAAGAATATTATACGGATATTTCCCTACTCCAGGTATGTTAAGGCTATCCCTTCTTTCTTTTTGGCGTGATCCAAATAATACAAATGAAACGAGCAAAATACGCAACTTTCATAAATGACTCTATTAATAGAAATACTAGGGGTGTCTATATTCTTGATTCTCCATGTGAATTATTATTATATCTTATGTTCATGGGTCTCAGAAAAATACGTATTTGATAAAGTATTCGAAAGGCATATTGATTTTTATGACATTCCGAGAAATCTTATTAACGTAATTCTTATGCATTTCATGCATTTATACATGTACATTGACCCATGACCATATGATGTTATATACACGTATATTATATGTATATGGGATATGAAAAAAGGTTATGGCGTTATATACGCACCACCACCTGATCAGTTGGTATATGTTGATGATGTTGCCCACAGTGGCCGAGACGATATGATGGGATGCCCTCAGAGGCTTGATGATGATATATATACAACTATACCTATGCATGACACGACATTTATATGCACGTGCATGACACTATAAATGTTTCAAAATTTACAAAGTTATCCAGACTTACAGGTGAATTTCTTTATTCCATGTTTCATCTATGTCTTTTATGTACTGATTTTCATGCCTTACATACTCAGTACATTATTAGTACTGACGCCTTATTTCCCGGGGCCTGCGTTTCATGCCCGCAGGTGCAGGTAGGCAAGTTGACAGTCCCCCTTCTTAGGATCCTTGATCAGCGAGAGTTGGCGTGCTCCACTTGATCCGGAGCTGTTTTTGATTTTGATATGATATGC